GTCCCAGAGTGGTATGACTGCGTCGCTCAGATGGCTTTTAACGAGAATTGAACCAGAGTCTAAAGGCCTAGTGCACATGTTATGTGTGCATTGGTGCGGTGTCCATGTAAATTGAATGTTTGTGATGTGTGCCTTCACGGAAGTATGCTCTTCATTGTATGTCGCCTAACAGGCCGTGAAATATCTAAACAATAAACACGAGGTCACAGTAAGGCCACAGTAAGCAGTGCTGTGCGTCTGTGTAGTCGCATCACACGATCTACCTCCGTTTAAGCCACGGCGTATTGCATTCGAGACAGTTTTTGGATAAGGTGACAATGGTCTCTCTCCGGTTGATTTCCGGCGCACTTATGGGTCTGACAGTTTTGAGGTTCATTGGTGAGTTGTAGCCGGGACATTTGTCTGTACCGTGCATGTAGATGGTATCTTCATCCGCTGTGATTGCTGAGGCCTGACCTGACCCTTAAAAACATCCCAAAACCGGGCAAGCCTTGGTTTGCGCATGACGAGATGAAACCGTCTGCACACGTGGCTTGCACATGACGGGATGAAGCCGTCTGTACACATGGCTTGCGCATGACGGGATGAAGCCGTCTGCACACATGGCTTGCGCATGACGGGATGAAGCCGTCTGCACACATGGCTTGCGCATGACGGGATGAAGCCGTCTGCACACATGGCTTGCGCATGATGGGATGAAGCCGTCTGCACACATCGTTTCACATCTTTGTCCGCAAAGTTGTTCGCTTGCTCGTCAGCTTGCTCGTCGGTCAGCATAAGCTCGTCTGGCGTCGGTGCTGGGTCGCTGAGGTCCGGTACCGGAGGTCGCTCCGGTTTCTACATGCCATGTCTAGTAATAAGCACCTTAACGCTTTCTTTGTGAATTCGAAAGGGAGCAGTGAAATCGTGGTGACGTTGCATTGCTGCATGAACTCCATGATCGAACAGCTTCCACGCAGATCAAAGAATTGTGCGTCTTGTTACTGATAACTGCATGACCATGCGATCAGCGGCTGCAAAGATATTCTTCTGTAGAAAGCGTAACAGACGGGCCGCTATAGGTGAAACTCCAACCATAGTTGAGGCAAGACTTGGCTTTTTCTGGCTATTACAGAATAGGCACAAATCCTATATCATGTAAATCCATCTTGTAAAATATCTTACTGTTAATATACCATTTGGCAGTTAGACAATCAAAATTCCAATCACGAATCGGTGCCCTCCTTTCAACACTTTTTAATAATAAAAAAATCACTGCAAGCAACAATATGACCTGAAATTTTCCGCACATGTAGTAGCTCATCGATATCACCTATAACCACACATATACATATCCGAGTAGCATGACCCGTCAATACTCCTCATGACGATTTGTGTTTTCTTTTTTCTGCTTGCCCTCACGTTTGGTAGACAGAGTAGCAGGGGAGGGGAGGGGGAGGTCAGCTTTCTTACATGGTCGTCGACGGATATGTAGGTAGGATGAGTGAGAACATCCTTGGCCCCCTGTTGGTGGGTAGCGGTCCGGAAAAAGGCAAGATAAAAAGGTGGCGAATGTATTTCTATCTTCTATGCTCGTAACGGTGCGTGATAGGCCAATGGGGACACTGGCGTTATGTAGCCCTTTCCACTGCCGAATGATGGACAGGTAGTGACCAATCAGTGGGTGTGACGTGTGACGTGTTGAATCGGGTCACACGGATGGTACACTGTATGCATAGGTCTTTAGGCTATAGGCCATAGACCTACCCCGCTATCACAAGAGCTAAGCAGGCAACGGGTGGCAACGAATCAACCAACGAACCAAAAATATCAACGAAAAAACTAAAATGCGTGGGCGGCCATGCGGCGGCCGTAGAAGAGTAGAAAGGCAGAAACCGTTGCATCGCTTGTTCCGGAGCAGATAGTGGTCGTCAGTCCACTGCCACACGTCACGCGAAATGAGGGCAACAGAGAAAATAATCAGTAAACATCTTTAAATCTGTCATGCCTTCAGGTCTAGCTCAGCCGAGCCGATTTTACTCCGAGTAGTGACGATCGTCAGGAGACAGAAGGGTGTGCACGAGCCGGGTAGTGAAGGTCGTCAGGAGAAAAAGGGGCGTGTGCGAGCCGGGTAATGACGGTCGTCAGGAGACAGAGGGGTGTCCACGAGCCGAGTAGTGACGGTCGTCAGGAGACAGAGGGGTGTGCACGAGCCGAGTAGTGACGGCCGTCAGGAGACAGAGGGGCGTGCACGAGCCGAGTAGTGACGGTCGTCAGGAGACAGAGAGGTGTGCACTAGCCGAGTAGTGACGGTCGTTAGGAGACAGAGGGGCGTGCACGAGCCGAGAAGTGACGGTCGTCAGTAGACAGAAGGGTGTGCAAGAGCCGAGTAGTGACGGTCGTCAGGAGACGGAGGGGCGTGCACGAGTCGAGGAATGTAATGGTCGTCAGGAGACAGAGGGGCGCGCACGAGCCGGGTAGTGACGGTCGTCAGGAGACAGAGGGGTGTGCACGAGCCGAGTAGTGACGGTCGTCAGGAGACAGAGGGGCGTGCACGAGCCAAGGGTTTGAGCCGCACGGCCTGCCTCTCACATTCTCTTAACGGGCCGCCGGATGGGTCGCCTCAAGAAAGTACAGTCTCAGATACGGTTTCATGCCGCTTTCAGAACTCTTACCAACATTCTCGACAGGCTGCACATGCATAAGGTTTGTGGACCGCATGGCTCAGTGTCAGGATTTTGGGACAGCGCGTTGGGAAAAGTTAGCTCTGTTCATAAGTAAATTCGGATAGAGAGCATAGCACGAGACAAAACATGAAGGCCTGGAGCGTCTGATTTGCGATAAATTACTTAACTACACGTTTGGAAATACAAATAAACCTGGCGAAAGGTAAGGTCATGGTTTCTGCTCTCCACAAAAAGTGACCGTGGAATCCTTTTCCACGAGACGTGAGATTTAGGTGTGCTGGTGGACTTGAAATTAACTTTCGTCTTTCACACAGATAAACAGTGTTGTTGGAAAAGCAAACCACGCCATCGCCTTTGCATGAAGCACCTATGTTCACTGAAGACATCACGTGAGTAGAATTGGTTGCGGATTTAAGACTGTCCAGTCATTACATACTGCTAACGGCCATATTGGCTCTATCATTGAGTTTGACAGCCCGCTTTGGTGGGCAGCCGCTAAATCTCACACCTCATTTCCGCCAGGATTAAAAGTTCGTAATCAGGCTGATCGTGAGCTCGAGTGTCCATCTGATTCAGTTATCAGGAGCATTACTTCGTAACCAGGCTGGTCGTGAACTCGAGCGTCCATCTGATTCGGTGATCAGGAACATTTCCGGTCCTGCTCCGAAGCTTTCCGATTGGCTCGACTTGCGTAGCAGGGTCTCACATTTTTCACATATCTGCGTGATGGCCGGACTGAGCGGAGCTTGAAGCGCATTTTAGTGATGCTTGTCTTTTTCTTTCCCCCAGACCCACTCGTTCGCGTGTTACTTCGCACATGCCTGTTCCCAGAGTTGAAATCAGGAAAAGTTCTTGTTTTGTCGACAAGCACGCAGTGCTAATGAGCGATATGACGAGGCTCCCTGCGTCCGGCTAGCTGGAACTTGACACAGTTTTGGTAACTGTGAGCCCGTTTCCATTCGTCCGACAACGTGATGCGTGTTACATTCAAAACACTGACAATAAGGCATTTTCGCACGCCTGAATATTTGCTGTTTTTGCCTCGTCAACACCGTCTATTATTATGTTTTTGCACTGTAGTCCTGCCAGTGACGAACGCAAGTCGCCCACAGAAATGGAAGATCCGTCACCTCCACGACAGGATGTTTGTGCAGCATTTAGCGTCTCCCATCGAATCATCTTCTCCGAGGCGGGCTATTACTCGACTCAGGTGCCTGTTACATGACAAGCAGCACGGGCTGCCGGGGAGCTGGCTACCACGGGCGGCTGGGCTGCACTGCCCCTTAGAGCCCGTCGCTGCGGGGGGAGCTGGCTACCACGGGCGGCTGGGCTGCACTGTCTCTTAGAGCCCGTCGCTGCGGGGGGAGCTGGCTACCACGGGCGGCTGGGCTGCACTGTCCCTTAGAGCCCGTCGCTGCGGGGGGAGCTGGCTACCACGGGCGGCTGGGCTGCACTGCCCCTTAGAGCCCGTCGCTGCGGGGGGAGCTGGCTACCACGGGCGGCTGGGCTGCACTGTCTCTTAGAGCCCGTCGCTGCGGGGGTCGACTTATGATAGCTTTTCAAAGACAACATCGACTATCAGCGGCAGAGTAACCTCCCGGTTACAGCAAATATTGTGAAGAATGACGTTCACATGCTGGTTCATCCAGTAGCTACCAGCACAGTGTTCATCTTACCACGACACTCTAGAGACCACCCTGGCGTGCACTACCGACCACGTCAGATGAGACCGCCCTGGTATGCAACGCTTGGCACGCTTTACCATCATGTTCACGCTGAAAAAGGCATACAGATACCTTGAAGCTCTCATAATTTAAGGATGTTCAAGAACATTCTAATCTCACCTCACTGACCTTGACCTTTAAAAAAGGTGGCGAAAGGGGATTGTTAGAAATAATCAAAACACACCGTAGCATGCCTTTTAAATTGATTACTTGCAACTGTGGGGCATGGCGGAGCTTTAAACCATTTATAGCACTAATGCAGCTTGACCCATCCACTGATCAGTAGTCTCAGTGACCTTTGTGTTCAGTTGTCCTGCGTAAGCACCTCACCGGACCGTCCGGCCGGCTTGACGTGGCTCGGTCCTGATCATAAATCAGCCGCTAAGTGATGTACCGGCCCACACCTGAGCCGTCCATTCGCGAGCTCAGCTCTCCGCGCCACGTTAGCGCGCGCTGCGTCCACCGCCGGCGCGGTGTCGTCCGTGTCGCCGCGTGTCAGGCGTCCGTGTCGCCGCGTGTCAGGACGCGTGACGCGGCGGCGCCGCTCGGCTGGCGAACCGAGCCGGCTCCGCTTGCTGCCGCCCGTCAGTGTCGTCCGCCGACGCCCGCGGCGAGCACGTGCCGCGCACCGCGCCGGTCATCGTCCGCGACGACCCACGGACCACCCAACGACCACCCGTGTCTGCCCGGCGACACTCTAGGGAGCAGCCACCGGCCGACAGGCGGCACGGTGCGCGTGACCCGAGACAACCCGGCTGGCGGCGGCGGCAGCTGACGACGAGAGAGCGGCAGCGGGCAGGATAGTCGAGCGACGCCGGTTCCCCAGAGGAAGATGACCAGCTTCGGCATGGTGGCCGGGACGCTGATGATTCTCAGTGCTCTGCTCAGCATTCGGGCGCAGCAAGGTCGGTGACCTCCATTGTTTTGCCTTCCTTGTATGCTTCGGTGCTTGGCACTGTCTGAAATTTAGGGATACGTCATATGACTGTGCGCAACATTGCAGTGCAACTTGGTGTCACTGAGGTGTGCTGTTTTTCGATTGTTTGAAAAGTGTGGTGAGACCTCCTTGGCACTGAGTTAGATATAAATGATTTAGTACGTGGTTGGCGTTGGAATCTGCCGCTAGTGATGTACATCTCTACTGGCTTCAGAAGCGAAAAAGCCAAGTTTTAGTGGCCATAATGGCCATGCAATGGCCATAGTGGCCATTACAGTGGAACTAACATCCGCTTCCTGCATTGATAAAGGTCAGAGGCAGATGCAGCACATGTGAAGTTGGCGGAGAAAACGGACGTTTTGCACAACGTCGATATGCTTACCTTTGAGCACAGGTGCATATTTGGCTCTCCCGTCATTCTTCTGCACTTGGCACCTCCCCGCGGGTTGACGCCCGGTCTGTAATAGGAGCGCCCTTGTGATGCTGCTGTACAGAGCTTATTTGTATATCGCTGTCTTCACCCCACCTTCTTTGGATGGCGCCGTCTCCACCCCATCGACAGGCAGGCCGCTCGAAATTGTCCAGGTTAAAATGCGGTCCAGTGTCCCTAATACCTCTCCCAGTACGCTATGCGTTCAAAATCAAACTAACTGCGGCGCCTTATGTTAAAAGCTATCACATCAGCCTCCGTGACCAGCCTTGCAATGTGTTGCGTTCAGTATCGAATTAATTACCGGTAGTAGGTTAAAAGCCTTTAAATGTGTGGACATACTTGTATGTTGGCAACAAACCAGCGTCGATTCGTCATCATGTTACGTCCCCTTCGCTTGCGCAACCTCTGTCGGAAATCTAAACCTTTGAATAGGCATGTATGGATGTAAATGAGCAAGGCAAATGACCATTTATTGCATATGTGAAAATATAAAAGCCTATTTCTTTCAAACATCAGCTTTCAACAGCAGAGAGTGAACTGTTAGTGTTAACAAATACGTACATCTGAAATAACCAGGCTTTGGCCCGACATGACTCTTTTAAATCACTCCTCTACCTGGACATTAACCATGTAGGATGTTGAAATCTTGCCCCAATATTTCGATCTGGAAATCAGGCTAGTCAACACGATTTTAGTTTCTAGCCAGAACAACCGGGGATGAGTTGAGCAAGGCTAGAAACCTTGCCCTAAGCAATGGACTGTGAAAGAGATCAAGGGATTTCATATTTCCGGTACTTCGCGTCCTTTCTTTGTTCACGTTACGTCTAGGCGATTTCTATCAGTGCAGTGAATCCATCCTGCTCCGCAAACAATGGCTGTTCCTTGTCGTCGGCTGATCCGGAAACCTTATTAAAAGACAGGCAGGGCGTGACATTCAGCTCCGTCTTTTCTGCATGCTTTAAGGAGCGGCATCTGGCTCATGCAACACATGTACTCATATATTCGTGCAAATCATAGAGCCATACATTCTCACAACTCGGATGTTGTGTCGAATGCTGTAAGGCGACGAGTGGAACGCTGTTTAAATTTCAGTATGGAAGGAAGAAGATGTCCTGATTCCACTTGCCCGCAGAAGAACAATGACTGATCACATTGGCACATGCATGGGTGCAAAACACTTACCGAACAATGGGAATATGTGCCATGCATCGTTCAGACATGACCATCATTCAGGAAACCTTTCACGGCACGTGCATCAGGTGACCTCTTTTTTGAAAGGGGCAGAGGTCTACGCACTTTGGCAGCTTACCGGACACCCTGGTGCACAGATATGGTGTGATCTTCTGCAGCACCTGGGCGATGGCCCCATTCAGGTCTCTCAGGCTCGACAGGTTCTTCCCGCAGACCTGACATGAAAGGAACGCCCATATATATGCACTCAGGTTGCGGGAGAGGAGGGGGGGAGGAGATCGGTACTGTAAGCCGGTTAGGGTTGTCTGCACGTCGGCTGATAGCTCGCTCCCGACGCGGTCCTTCAGCAGAGCCAGGGCCATCCTACACGCGTGGATAACCGTCCCGTCATGTCGGAGTCGGAAGGCTGTACATCTCGCGAACTCCGTGAGAGCCACGGACCTCCGTGTTCCGTGGCTCCCACGTTCGTATTCTGTTTCCTGTACCCTGCGTATGCTCGCGTCCGTTGCTTGTCAGGACTGCTTCTATTGTGGAACCACACCTCATGTGGTGTCCTTCGTCGTAGATAACGGAGACTGCGTGGAGCCTTGAACTATGAAGATGTTATGAAGTTGAAGTATGTAAGTTATGTAAGTTAGTAAGTAAGTAAGTAAGTAAGTTATGAAGTATGAAGTCAGATTGGAGTTCGCTTTCATTGCACGGTCAGAGATGAGGAAATTCATGCCGAGCTCCGAACGCGGACTCATGCCGAACTCCGAACGCGGGTTCATGCCGAGCTCCGAACGCGGGCTCATGCCGAGCTCCGAACGCGGGCTCGTGCCAAGCTCCGAACGCGGGCTCATGCCGAGCTCCAAACGAGGTCTCATGCCGAACTCCGAACGCGGGTTCATGCCGAGCTCCGAACGCGGGCTCGTGCCGAGCTCCAAACGCGGTCTCATGCCGAACTCCGAACGCGGGTTCATGCCGAGCTCCGAACGCGGGCTCGTGCCGAGCTCCAAACGCGGTCTCATGCCGAACTCCGAACGCGGGTTCATGCCGAGCTCCGAACGCGGGCTCGTGCCAAGCTCCGAACGCGGGCTCATGCCGAGCTCCAAACGCGGTCTCATGCCGAACTCCGAACGCGGGCTCATGCCGAGCTCCGAACGCGGGCTCGTGCCCAGCTCCGAACGCGGGTTCATGCCCAGCTCCGAACGCGGGCTCATGCCGAGCTACGAACGCGGGCTCGTGCCGAGCTCCGAACGAGGGAGGCAGCCGATTGGTTCAGATCTCGTCGGGTGTATGGGAAGATGGCGTCAATTGCAAATCTATGCATGAACATCTTCCAATAAGCAGGGAAAACTTGCACGGTGGAGCAGGTGATCAGTTGCGGCCATTTACAACAGGGTCTGACCAATATTACCCGAAGGTCTATATCGACATCGAGCCCAGCCATCACTGTACCTCAGTGATGGCTGCGTTACTGCGAACGTCTGACACCTTCTGGGCGTGCGCTTACAATGGGAGTTATCACCGGCCATTCAATGATTAGGGAGACTATAGTGGGGAAGTCAATGCGCTAGCCTTAGTTTGCACACGTGCTCTTTGCTTGTATGCATATGTCTGTGCAATCGTTGCAACCTGATGAGGAAACATTATGTCCATTTGCATCCCTAGTGTGCTCCGTTTTAGCACCGAGTTAGAACTTGAAATATAGCCTATAATTAAAGTTAGTGTAACGGGCGTGAGTTTTGCGAAATAAGCTGGGGGGACGGGGGGGGGGGGGGGTATGAGTGAAAATGACGAGAACCACTCACATTGCCACCCAAAGTCCCACTTTTTCGCGGATTTAGCCACTTCTCTTTAGGAGTCGGGAGGGTTTCCGGCAAAGTTAGAAGGGCTGGGCTGCCGTTTCCGTTTTTGAAGATTTCATCGGACTTTTTTGAAAGGATGAATCCAAGGATCAAAGCCATGCTCAGCAGTACGTGTTGAATGATCCCTGCAACCTCCGATCGCGCAATTCCAGGTCAAGGGCAGGATTTGATCGCGAAAGTTTAACATGCCGCAATGCTCGGCACGATCCGCCTGGCTCTCTAACGTCACCTGGCCTCTAGCACGGCCGCCGCCACCGGCCGCAGGCCACACATGCCAAGGCCAAATAGCGAGCGACTGAGGCGACCCGATCCTACCCGGCCACGAATGGGTGGGTCGGAAGGCAGGCGCTCTAACCAACTGAGCTATTGGGACATAACTGAATAAGTACTTGAGCTGAATACGAAACTATACCCTCCTGTGTGATGTTTTCTCATTTTATTTCGGCTGATAAAGATATGATTGTGTCATCGTATTGTGTGTATATCATACCGTTTGCTTGAAAAGCCAAGCCGAGCCAACACATGCAGAGCAAATAAAAATCACAGAACGTAATACATTTTACAGTGATGTAATGGCCACAATCAATCCAATAAATCTTACATTTACCTTAAGGATGTATGCTGGCTGATGTATTTAAACGCGCTAGGGTAAGATCAATTTGGTTTACCGAAGGTTTTCCCTAAATATCTTCCCAACGGCGCGGCGCGGCCGTGCTAAACTTTGTCCAGCTGTAGGTAATCAAATAGCTGATCATTCGCCTTAACCGAATTAGATAGCCTTGTAAGATCGTTGGCCTATGGCAGGTCAACGTTAGGCCGTGGTTGTCAACGAAGGCAATGCCGAGGAGACCGTTCAGTATGGTGCGACAGCGTAGTGTTAGAGAAACTCATACAACTTTGACATAATTTTTATAGGCTGTTTTTGAAATATGAATTCCGACAAGTTCCACTAACCTTGGGTCAGGTATAGGGTTCAGTTCTGGGTCAAGGCCGAACCGCTTCATTGCTGGAAAAGATGTTTTATGAGGTAGTGTTTACGCTCGTTGCGAATTCCTGGATCGCTTATCGTTTACTGTTTATTGTTTATTTGGGACACAAGCATTCCACAGGCAAAAACAACTTTCAAAAGCAGTTCACTTTTAAAAACAAGAAATATACGATACACGCCCAAACAAAAAAGCAAATAAACACCCACCCACATACACACACCCACACCCACACCCACACCCACACCCACACCCCACACCCACACACCCACGCCCACATCCACACCCACACACACATACACACACATACACACCCACACACCCACACCCACACCCACACCCACACCCTCACCCTCACCCTCACCCACACCCACACCCACACCCACACCCACACCCACACCCACACCCACACCCCACACCCACACCCACACCCACACCCACACCCACACCCACACCCACACCCACACCCACACCCACATCCACACACACACCCACACGCACACCCACC